CTAAACCCCAAACCCTAAAGCCTGGAGCCCCTCTTTCGTTGAGCAGCAAGAGCTCCCAAGACCTAAACCACCCTCGACCCTGAACCCTAAACCCTGAACCCTAAACCCAAAAACCCTGAACCCAAAAAGCTGGGCTCCAGACCCATCCTGCGGAAAACGCCTCAGGTGGGCTGCGGCTCTCTCAACACGGAGGGGGAGGGGGAGGGGGGCGGGTATTTTCGGGGTCTTAAGGGTTTAGGTGTTTTGAATGGGCAGTCTTACTACTCATCCCGGTACTTTCGGGGTCTTGATGGTTTTCAATACGGTTGTGGGACAGTCTTACTAATCATCCCGGCCCTAACTAGGTAGTCTTGTCTACGGATTCTATTGCAATATGATTGGTCATCTGCTCAGTATGTACTGTGTGGGGACGATAAGAGGGGGTGGGGTGATACTGTTGATGATATAAATCCTGCATTGCCTTAAGGACCCCAAGCCATGGAATTATGGTATATTCCTGATTAAATAAGGAATATAGCTCATTACCTTAAAGACCCCACACTATGGGAATCATGGAATATTCCTTACTATGGGTAATGCAGGATTATATCATCAACCCAGAAACTCTGCATAAGCCCCTAAACCCTGAACCCCTAAACCCTAAACCCTAAACCCTAAACCCTAAACCCTAAACCCCTAAACCCTGAACCCCTGAACCCTAACGTCCGGGATCCTGGTCTTCTGAGGACGCGGAGTCTGCAAGGCTAAGGCGGTTCGGAGCTGAGGATTCGGGGGTGGTCTATTAATCTTAGGGTTCCTGAATCATGATATATACACTTACTGTATTATATATATATATATATATATATGTATGTATGTATGTATGTATGTATGTGTGTATGTATGTATGTATGTATGTATGTATGTAGGGTCACGGATCGAACCCAGGCACAACGCTTGGGAATTGCTGGCGACCCCAGTGCCACCTGAGATAGGTAGGCACGCTTCGAAGCCATAGGCCTCAACAGAGCTGGCAACTCACCAGCGTGGCATCGCCGAGACCGAAGGCGACGTTCACAAGCGCGGCGGCGCATCCACAAGGCCAGGGGAGAGGCCAGAGCTCCTCGACGCAAGGACCTCTTGCACCTTGAAGGACATCACAGCCGCCCGGCCTACAAGGAGAGCTCCCAGCTCATGGGCAAGAAGGCACAATGGGAAGAAAGCTGGCACGGTGGATGGCAGCAGTACCATGGTGCATCTGGCTCGCGGCAGCACAAGGGATATGGCAAGGGCAAGCAGGCGAAGGATGGCAAGCGATGGAGAGAACCGCAAGAGGACACAGCCCAGGGATTTCCCTCCTTCGAAGAGATGAAGATCAAGAACAAGGGCGACAGGACCCACCAACGACAGGAGACCATGGACGTCGACGAGAGCGAGCCCTCTGCAGGTGGATACCTCCGCGGCTTCCAGAAGATCCTCAACGGGCTGCGCAAGGCGGAGACGAGGGCAAGGAAGCTGGAACAGGAATGCCAGGACACCGACGACAAATGGGCGGCATTCCAGCAGAGCCTCAAGGACTCGTATGTCAAAGAAAGGGCGAAACACCGAGAAAAGATCGGGAGGCTCCGTGCAGAACTAAGCGAACAAAACCAGGCCAAGGAGGACATCGTCAGGGAGCTCAAGAAGGTGGTCGCGAACCCGACCGTGATCATGGCCCCGAAGGACAAGGACCTGGAGAACGCAGAGGCCCTCGAGGAGTTGGAGCAGCTACTGGCCGCGCCGACAAGGAGCAGCTCAGGCGAAGGACTCGCAGACCTACTTGCGGGAGTTGTCCGAGATGGGCTGACGGGCAGCGGCGACAGCAGACAAAGACTCCTGGATGCTCTGGCCTCGCACGGCAAGAGCGCGGAAGCCCCACGGACCCCACCGCGCCGGACGCTGGCATACGCCGACAAGACCCCGCCGGCGAAGACGAGCCAACGGGCACAAGTCAAGGAAGAGATCGAGGACCACGAGGGCAAAGGTGGGACTCCAGAAAGAAGCGAAGTGCCCTTTGTGGGCTCCCCGTCCTTGACTGGGTTGATCCCGGAGACAACGGCCAGCACAAGATCAAGATCAAGGCCGACAACAAGAACGCCCATCAAGTGTGTCGGCAGAAAGCCACAAGCGGTGACCAAGGCCGCCTCGATCAAGGAAAAACTAGAGGAGAAGCGGAGGCTTGCGACAGAAGAAGAGGAAGACTCGGATGTGGAATTCCTCGACGGCTTAAACAAGCAGGTCAACAACGTGGGCAACGCCGATGTGGAGTAACACCCGCCAGCATGAAGACGGGAGGAGAAGGCCCTGGACTTTTTCGGCGTGTTCCAGGAGGCCTAGATGCAGCATGCGGCAGTAGAGTTCGGCAGCTGCGACAAAGGAGAACTATGAGGTGGTGGTTTTGCCATCAGGGGCTTTTTCGGCATGTCCCCCAACAGCGAAGACCTGATCATCCTTTGGGAACAGGCAAGTTTTGGAGTATGAAAAGAGGGGGGCACGGCCCTGCGGGAGGCCACGACCCCAAAGAGAAGGCGACTGACTATGACGCGGACAAGACCCAAGATGAGGAAGGCATCCAGTCTGAACAGCAGCGCCTGATTTTCGATGGCAAGCAGTTGGAAGATGGTGGTTCCCTCCCTGATTGTCACATCCAGAAGGAATCGACCCATCCCCTGGTACAGCGCTTCCGAGGAGACACGCGGATCTTTGTCAAAATCATCAAGGAGAAGACGATCACCTTGGACGTTGAGGCCAGCGACACGGTCGACAATGACAGGACTATGGTGACTATGGTCAAGGACAAGGAAGGCATCTCACCAGACCAACAGCGCCTGATCTTCACTGGCAGGCAGTTGGAAGACGGTCATATACTCCCTGATTACAACATCCAGAAGGAATCGACCCGTCACCAGATGCTGTGCCTGCGAGACGATATGCAGATTTACTGCCCGCAGGACGATATGCAGAACGCTGTCAAGACATTGGAAAATCACACGATCACCCTTGACGTTGAGACCAGAAACACGATCGACAAGGTCAAGGTTCCGACCCAGGACAAGGAAGGCATCTCACCTGACCAGCAGCGCCTGATCTTTGCTGGCAAGCAGTTGGAAGATGGCGGACCCTTACCCGATTATCACATCCAGAAGGAATCGACCCCGTGCCTGGTACAGCGCCCCCGAGGCGACATGCAGATCCTTGTCAAAAACCTCAAGGCGAAGACGATCACCTTGGACGTTGAGGCCAATGACACGGTCGACAATGACAGGGCTATGGTCGAGGACAAGGAGGGCATCTCACCAGACCAACAGCACCTGATCTCCGCTGGCAAGCAGTTGGAAGACGGCTATACCCTTTCTGATTACAACATCCAGAAGGTATCGACCTGTCACCAGATGTTGTGCTTACGAGATGGCACGCAGATTCATCCCAAGGCCTTGCAAGAGAAGAAGATCACCCCGGACGTCGAGACCGGTGACACCATCGACAACCTCAAGGTCAAGATCCAGGACTGGGAAGGCATCCAGCCCAATCAGCAAAACCTGATCTTCGCTGGCAATCAGTTGGAAGACGGCTGTGCACTCCCTGATTACAACACCCAGAAGGAATCGACTTTTCAATCGATGCTATGCCCGCAAAACGGTATGCAGCATCCTGTCAAGACCTTGCAAAATCACACGATCACCCCTGGCGTTGAGACCAGAGACACGATCCACAATGTCAAGGTTCTGACCCAGGACAAGGAAGGCATCTCACCTGATCAGCAGCGCCTGATCATCGCTGGCAAACAGTTGGAAGATGGCGGTCCCCTCCCTGATTACCACATCCAAAAGGAATCGACCCCGTGCCTGGTACAGAGTTCCCGAGGCGACATGCAGATCCTTGTCAAAATCATCAAGGAGAAGACGATCACCTTGGACGTTGAGGCCAGCGACACGGTCGACAATGACAGGGCTATGGTCGAGGACAAGGAGGGCATCTCACCAGACCAACAGCACCTGATCTCCGCTGGCAAGCAGTTGGAAGACGGCTATGCCTTTCCTGATCACGACAGCCAGAAGGAACCGACCCGCGTGCAGGTCTTTGACATCCTCGATGTCCACGAGCTTGTCACGAAGTGGATGTCGACAAGTATGTGGCGAATGGTAGTACTGGCCGCAAAGGCAGCAACTACAGCCACCCTCTCAATCGCATTGGCACAGCTCGTCGCATTGCTGTTGCTACTGGCGAGCTATAGCCGGCAAAGGCACCCCTTCGGAACAGGCAAGAAGGCCCGGCCGGTCTGGATACGCATCATCCTCTTTGCGACGGTCACCAGTGGGGCGCAGGCCGGCTATGGAGGGGATGCCAAGACAAAGTGCAGTAAAACGGGAATTGCACTCCCAACAGATCTGGAGCTGTGGATGAGTGGGCAAGCAACGATGAGGGAGCAGCTCGCAGCTGCTTTCGAAAGGCACGTGGCCTCCATGCCGCTGGGGCACAACAGCCGTGTGGCTCCGCCACCTGAGTTCACAGAGCCCATCCCAGAAGCACCTCCTCCGCAGGTCCAACAGCTCCAACCGCACGAGCATTGGATCAACAGAGAGGAGCCTGCTACAACGCACATTTCGTTCTGGATCTGTGCACCGTACTATGAGTCCATGTCACTGGATGTGGCGATGAGCTTCCCCCTCACCCTCAATCACGTCTTCGAGGCCATCCAGAACTCAACGATCGATCTGCCAACCGACATACTTGACCACACGGTGGCCATCACCCCCCAACCAGATGAAGCCTTTGGGTCGGTGATGCTGATCCCGGCATGGGTCAGACTGTCCGGCATGACAGCTGTGGTGCTGGACGGAAGACAAGTGGGAGCAGGCATCTTTGCGGCCTACTTCGAAGGCCCCCTGACAAGACGAGCCCTCCTTCATAAGGTTGGAGTAGGGATGGATGATGGCATCTCCGTGTTCCTGTTTGGCTCGCTGCAACCGATGAATGATGAGCAGCAGGAACCGCCAAGTCAAGGTGGACTCATCCTCTTCCACCGGCGTGGGGAAGTACCAGAATGGGCCACGGACCTGGATACTAGATTGACAGACCCAACTAGATGGAGGCCTGAAGTTGATCACCCGCAGCATCTACCGGGCCGTCACATGGAATTCCAAGGAGAAGAGCAAACATTTCTCCACCAGTTGGACAGGAATGTGGCGCCGGACCCGCAACGAATGGCGGATCATGCCTTTGGGGCTAGCCAAGGGGAAGTGTGGCTCAGAGCCCCCACTCAGAGGCCAATGAGGATGTACGCAAGGGGCAAAAGAGTTCACTCTATCATTGCGGTACTCAGTGCTGGACGATATCCCAGGAACAGCACGAAGGTCGTGTTCCTCGACACGAGACCCATCGGACTCTGGCCGCAATGGGTAGCATTGCCCGGGGACTTCATGGACCCAGGAGCATACGCAGAGGGCCTCCAAATCCCCTACATTGAAGGCTACTCATTGATCGTCAAGGGAGGGCAACGACATCGTGATGGAGTCAGGATCCGTGTCCTGGACGGGGAGGTCATCGAGCTTCTCCTGAAAAGATCTGATGAGGTCACGCCTACATCGTCCAGCCTCGAGCCGGGCTCAAGCGATGACGAAGAGGAGACGACGGTGATGACAACGATCACCCCATGCCCAACTCCAGCGACTTCTCGGACCCCTCACCACCGGAAGGCGAAGGACCTTATGGACCGCCGCCCCCCCGACCGGTCAATGATGACCGTAGTCGCTCTCCAAGGAGAGATGACAATAACCATGGAGACCAACGAGGAGATGACACTGTGGAAGGGTGTCAACTACGACTGAGCGATCATGTGCCATTGCCGGTCTACGACCTCACCGATCAGTACATTCCACTGCCCCACAATGAAGAAGACCTGCGGGCTTTATGTAAGCCATGGGGCAAGGAATGGATTGTACAACAACTGCCAGAGCTGAACTGGCATCCAGCCACTGCCAGCGAACTCCATGAACAGATGTCATGGCAAGAGTTGCTGGCAGCTAACAGCGGAGAACAAGTCGAACTATGCCTCTACACGGACGGCTCCGCTGAACCAAAGACGGGACGAAGCGGCTATGCGGTGGCAATCCTTCTCAAGATTGGAGCCGCGGCCGCTGTCTTTGGGATCCTAGGAGGGCAACTCCATGGCAACCCGCAGTCCTTGTGGACAGAAGCCACTCAACCCTCACTCGGTGAGGAGCAGGTAGCATTGGCCGCAGCACTGCTTTGGATCCTCCAGCTGAAAGCGATGCTGCCGAATGTGAAGGCCACCATCTTCTATGACTGCTACGCTGCTGGGAAGGCAGCAGATGGGCAATGGGAGGCGCCCAATGAACTAGGAGTGAGGACTTTTCACCTGTACCATGCGATTACTGCCCTCTCGGGCATTGAGCTGGAGATGAATCATGTCAAAGGACACAGTGGGCACCCGTGGAACGAAATGGCAGACTGTATTGCAAGAACAGCGGCCAAAGACAAGGAGATGTTTGTCGGCCCCCCACCGGAAACTATCCAAACATTCTTGCGATCGCAGCTGCAATGGCTGGCACCAGTGATCAAGGCCACAAAGGATGGTGCTCTACCGGTGCGACACGGCTACTTACAATGGAGCGGCCAGCCCTTCCATGACCACCGATTGACCCCCAACGACATCATCCCAGTTCAGGAAAGTGGTGCCGACGTGAATGGACACAACCCGACATTCAGAGTAAGGGCAGCCACCATCAACATCCAAGGAATCTCGGGCAACCACAGATACATTGAGGAGCAGTTGAACGACCTCGGGGTCAACCTGGTCTTCATACAAGAGACAAAGGAAAGACAAGGGATGATACGGGGGCCACACTACCTGAGATTCTCCACCGAGTCGGAAAGACACTTTGGAGTGGCCATATGGATCCACAGGACCATGGGCCTCCTCAACATGGATGGAGGGACGAAGCAGGTTGAAGAGCAGAACGTGGTTACCCTGCTACAAGGGCCGCGAATCTTGGCCCTCAGGATTACTCTTGAGGAAGTGAAGATCGCCCTCATTGCTTCCCACTGCCCTCATGCCGGACGAGCTGGGGAACGAGATGCCCACCTGCAGGAGCTCAAGAAGCTGGCCGGCCAGGCCAAAAACATGACGCTGGTGATGATCGGGACTGATCTCAATGGGAGATTACCACCGAACTACCGGCCAGCAACGGGCTCCCTTGAGTTCGATGAGCCCGACCGAACAGGTGAGCTCATGGCGGACATCATGGCCGAACAAGGACTGTGGGCACCCTCGACCTTCGACGGCATTCATATTGTTGGCGATGGATGTACCCATG